CCCCAAAACCCCAAAACCCCAAAACCCCAAAACCCCAGAAGTATATTATTATATTGAAAATTATGCAAATACATCCGCTATCCGTTAGGCTAAAGTCATTGAAAGGCAACAATACCTCTGCAATGACTGGGACAGATACCTCTACAAGGAACGGGATGAGGATATCTTCTATTCACTGTATTCCTGACTTAAAGTACTTGGATATTAACTCCTTTAGTGGTATGGTCAAGTCAAGGAACGGAAATGTAAATTTACCCAGCTTACCTCAGACAATCGATCTCATCCGAGATAACAGTGGTAGCAATTTCTGCTTCCCAAATATTTCCTCGAAACAGAATATTAGTTTCAAGACTATGAATAAATCTTTGAAATTGCGCTTAAAATAAAGACAAATCAGCTGAAAAGATTACGATAAATTGCTCAAAGATAGGGAAACTAAATTTGAAACCTGCTAATCAATACAGTAAGGTCTTTCACTATTAAACTCACTGAAACCCTGATGTATAATGTACCTTATAGAATTTCACAAATTGCCAAATAAGCTGACTAAAATTCCGACTTTCGGGAGCCAACACTCAGCTAGAAATTACCATAAGCTGAGCCATTATTGCAAGGTTGCCCCAGCCAAACAAAGGGCTAGGTATAGCCACGATTGGAAGAGATTTAGTATCAAATAAAATTCCAAAATCTCACAGTCAAAATAAGGTCAGATGCAGGTGAGTATCTTGCTACTTTGAGAATGTCCTAATTTCAGGGATTTAACACAAAAGTTCATAAAGTGTTTACCCAATCTAATCATGATGTTTTTAGTGAAGATACAATGTTTCAGTAAGTACCAATAGTGACGAGTAGTCCTAAGTATGCCCCGAAAGAAGAGCCAGTGATTACTCTGAAGCAGACTGAAGACACCCCTTCCAAAAAGTACTCATTCTGTTGATCTTTAGATTTGAGAGGATGCATAAAAGGAAATTACAGAGAGTTAAAAGTCATAAGAAACAACTTGAATCTGCCTTCAAAAGTATGCTGGTATTTTACCCTTTAGAATCTTTCTGTACCTTCTTGGAGAAAGTCGAGAAAGTTACCAAAGAAGCTCAAAAAAGTTTTGATCTGTAGCTTATGTAATTTTGAGGTTGCAAACTTATTTCAGCACCCTAAGATAAAAATGGGGTTTTGGGGTTTTGGGGTTTTGGGGTTTTGGGG